GCGTATTTGGATTTTGGTTGCAGATAAATAATACATTAAGTGTTGTACAAAAATAGGGAAATATAAAAAGCATTTCTCCAAACCATAATGGGTAAGCTCCTCAAGGAACCTTATTTTGAAAGTTGAAACTACTGTAAACCACTACAATCATAAAAAGTATTCCAAACCTTTGAATACAATTATGAATCCTCAATTTGTGATAATGAATAGCACCTAAAACTTCACCCAAAAACAGGTACATGAAAAGTATACAAAACGAAATGAAATAACAATAAAACTACAAACTAAAATTCCTTCCAAAGGTTCATCTTTGTAATTGATCTAGTGATGGGCCTTCAAGGAACTTCATTTGATTGTCCTACATCAGTAAGTGAAAAAAACAAGAAATTTTTTGGCATTTTAAATTTTCTCTTATTGTTGGGTTAAAATGGGTCCAACAGGAGGGCTAACGAGATGGGTCATATGGGTTGGGTTATATTAATAAGATTGGGAGAAAATTCAATGAGGTTGATTTGTGTTTAATTGGTAGAACTTGCTTTTAAGAAATAGGTGATATTATCTGAGGATTGGAGAAGCTAACTAGGTTTTTTTACTATCAGAGAAAATTATGGAGAAAAAAATGCAATGGGGTAAAGATGAAAGCTTGAATTGGAGACTTTGGAATTGAATCTTAAAGCAGGTGACTTAAAATTTTTATTAAATAGATGTTTGGATATTTTGTTGGATGAATTCTAAATATGGATGGAATGTTTTATTGATACGATAAGAACAAAGAACATGGTTACAACTAATTTTCAAATTAATCTAACTTTTTATTAAAAATCAATTTTGAAATTTCACCTTTTAAAAACTTTCTAAGCATTTCAAATTCAAGATTTAAAATTTGTTAACTTTTCAAAATATTGTTTTACATTTTTTACTTGCTTTCTTTATTTTTGAACTTGTTATAGAAAAACGTATGAAGAGGTGGAAGATTGTAGTGGAAGTAGCAGGTGACTACTGGAGGTGAAGGAAAAAGCCTTTGGCTGCACAAATGATGAGAAAACAACAAACTGTAAAATAAGTATTATTAAAAAAAAAAAAGATAAATTGAAACACTAAACTAGTAGATTTTTCATAATTTAGATGTGGGCTCCGAAAATTCGACCCCGGCCTCCACTCGCTTTTCTTATTCGGCGAGGGAGTTTTAACAAACTAAGTTCCGGGGTAAATTTTGGAAGGCAGATGGGTTGTAGATAAGACACTACCAAGAGATTTCGCATGGTTAACATTAGACTAGAAAATTGGAACGTTGTGAGAAAATATTTAAGAGTTCATTTTGAGGGTGTATGGAGTGACAAGATAAATTAGATTGAGCATCATGCAACGTTGTGATCTCTTGAAACCCAAAAATAAAAGAACCTCATAATTAAGAGGAGATGGGAGGAATTGTCTTGAGAGGATGACCAAGAAATGTCATTTTATTTCATGATCAATCTTCTTCAATTTTAACCTAACGCCAACTATTTCAAATGGTAGACATAATTTGTTATCATTAAAAACAATGACAAGCTTGATCATAATAAAAAAAAAATAACTATTTTACACATGCTAAGAAACAAATTGATAAATGACAATGATTACAAAACAAATTAAATAAAATTAAAAAACTAAGCAAATTGATATAAAAATATTCAATACTGATAACTAGAAATGTGATGGTATGGAAAGATGATAGTTAAGTACTAAAGACAGAAATAGGTACGATATCTCACAAACCAACAGTGACAAGTTTAGAAGTTACTTCTGCAATGTAGAATCAAATTAAACAAAGCAGACCAGTGATAAAGAACTTCTAAATCCAAACTAAGATAATTCAAATTATGATCATCCTCACTCTTTTTTTTAAATTATGATCATCCTCATGATGATGGTATTGAAGATAGATTAGAAAAGGTAAATGGGATTGATAGGATTAACATAATATTTTAAAGATAAATTGCAAGGCCTGCCAAAATTTAGTCTAGACTCCTGCCAATGATATGGCAACAAATGACTGAAGAGCTTCTGGAAAGAATTTGTCTGATGACGTCCATATCATGACAGAAAACTTATATTTTAGTTAAGAAAGGTCAATAAAATCAGACCTTTTTAGGAACATGTTTTTGTTTCTTTTTAATTTAATATAAAGGCCCGAGACACACCACAATCAAGCAGTAACACAATGCTACGATCCAAACATCAGAAATAAAAATTTGAACAGAAAATCATGCAAGTATATAATTAGGTGTCATTAATTAATTATGTTCTATTGGTACTTGAAAGTTTTAAAGATGAGTCAACTAAACAACATAAGAAGAAAACTATGAGAATGAAAATTCAATTCAGTATGTAATCTACCTTTTGCAGCTTTTAATATATTTGGCTATAACAACATGCTTTCAGCTTCAACTTTCAGGCGATGAGAATTTCTATTTTCATATTGGATAACTATTTATTATTTCTATATAGAGAAGATGAAGCCGTCAGATATTACTAACTACAATTACTTTTCACTAATTAACAATAGAGACTATTTAATATCATCAAAATGCATCACATATCAATCCAGCAACATGCATTCTGCAAAGAGAATGCATTTTGGAGCTCAATTTACTGCTCTAACAGCTCTAACTTGTCATATTCAATAAGATTAAAAAAAAAAAAAAAAAAATTCCTCTCTCCACTGAAATATTTGGTAAATCTGTAAGATAAAGTTAGCTAATGACCACATCATGTAGCACTAGACAAATTCTGAGAAGGATGCAATTACAAGAAAAATAACCGAAGCTTCTTACTGGCAGGTCATCACAAGATGCATGACTCTCTGCTTCTGAAAAGAACACTGTTCAACGAGATCCAGAATGAACTCACCAGCTGCCCCCTGTAAATCTTAAAGCTACTTAAAATCAGGTTTAAGCAAAATGGCGTCATAGTTAAGAAAGCCACTTGAATAAGTAAAATCATCTTTAAAAAAATGTCTTGATGCAAATAATGCAAACTACAAAATGATAGAAAATCTATCAAATTCCTCCTCAATAAAAATGAAAAGGAAGAATTTTATTACAACTGACATCATCCCAATAAAAATCACTCATAATAGAAAAGTCGGCACATAAATTAGCTAACTTATTACAACTTATATTAGGAAAAAGAAATAAAAAATCATTGAAATATTTTAAAAAATACAACTCTTTCATCCACAGATCTTCATCATCCGAATTCACTTTTCTCATAGAATCTTGAAGTAACTTGATAATATTAAAGTTGTCACCTTCAATTATAATCCCTTTGGTTTCAAACATCCATCCTTGCATCATCTTCTTCAATGATCGAACAGCCAACATTTCTGACTGAGTTATATCCCAATGCAAGCAACTGAAACCAAACGCCAACAAGAATCTTCCTTTATGATCTCTAAATACTCCTCCAATTTCTACTTTATAAGATCTTAACAAAGATGCATCAATGTTAACTTTAATCCATTCAGGAGGAGGGTGCCAATAATTATTATACAGCTGTGAGGGCTGATTAACACCACGGTGTCCCAAAATGGAATTGATTTGAGGTGAAATAGCATAACTAATTAAATTAGTAGCTATTCCAGCCAAAGTATCTTCATTTCCCCCATGCTTAACTTTATTTCTACTTTTCCATGAAAAAAAAACAACTATACCATATATATTAATAAAATAAGAATTATTACTAGCTAATCTTTCCAAACCCACAACATTCAGCAAAGGATAGGAAAACAGGGATCCGAAATCCCCATTTATTAAGATACTCAATAACTTGAATAAGCTTCAAGCATTTTACTGCTATATGCTCCAAAGTCTCAATTGATTGGCATCCACTAGGACAAACATTAGTATCAAGTAATCTTCTATACATAAGAAAATCATTAGATAGAATTGCATTTCAAAATAAGCGCCACCAAAATACCTCCACACGTGATTTGAGCTTCAGTTTCTTTATCCATTTCCAATAATTGTCATCCACATCTTCTTTCAACGAAGCCTCAAAAGCCAAAGCAATAATTGATTTCTCAGACATCTGCCTTTTAAGTTCCAATTGATCGGATATTAATTCCGGACAAATCAGATTTTGTTGAATAAGCTTAACCAACTGTTCGCCAAATAATTTCTACAACTCTATCTCGTTCCATTCACCATCAGCTAATAATTTATCAACAGTGATGTCAATATCTTTAAAATCTACAGCAAACGTAGACCATCGATCGATGCTTCTATCAAGAATCCATACATCCTTTAATATATTAATAGATACACATGTAGAAACTTTCCATCTCACAATTGGTTGAAGATATTTAGCTCCATTCATAATAATTTTCTACGTAGACGAACATCCTCTCTTAAGCTTAGAATTTCAAACCTCTCCCCAATATTTAGCAATCAGGTTTCTATTAAGTAGTGAATCAGGTTTGTCAATAAAATTCCAAGGTAGTCTTGCTCGTAAAGGTCCCACTTTACCTTCAGCTGACTAAAGACCACGACCTCCCTGCTTTTTGTATTACAGAGCACATCATAAGCTACATAATGAAGTCCTTGTTTGCCATTTTTCTTATGCCAAATAAAATTCCTGCATATTTTATCTAAATCATTCAATAATCCAATAGGAACTAATGAATTAGTAGATAGAAAAACTGGAAGAGAAAGAAACACAATCTTAACAAGAACAAATCTACCGTCTAAGGAGATAAATCTATTTCCCCAAGCATTCATTCTATTCAAAGCCTTTCCATCATATTCTGAAAATATGAAACAATAAATCTTCTCAATGCAATCTTCAAATCAATAAAATTCATTTCATTTACTGCTTTGAAGTCCACAATATGTGAAATATGTTTTTCTACTTTCTTTTAACAGATTTATCAAATAAAATAAAGGATTTATCTTCATTCACCTTTTGTCCAGAGCATCTGCAAAAATCATCCACAATGTTCTTCACCTTATTCACACTTTTTGTATTTACTTCAGAAAAAATAAGAATATCATCTACATATAAGTTTTAACAAATGAGATATCATTTGTGCATTTGGAGAAATTTTAATTCAATCTTACTACTTATTTCTAGAAAAGCATTTGATAGCAATTGCGAACACATAATAAATAAGGAGACAAGGGACATCCATGTCTAAATCCGCTCCTTGCTTCAATCCAATTGGATTTACTACCATTAACCAAGATAGAAAATCTTGGATCCACGAGACACTCCATTATAAAGTTTGAAAATTTGATTGGAAACCCAAAATACTCCAAAACTTGTCTTAATGTAGACCACTCCATACTATCATAAGCTTGTTCCATATCAATTTTGACAGTCAAGAAGCCTTTATTAGACTTTAAAAATTATCTTGTATTGGACAAAAAATTTTATTTTAAGCTTGAATGATCCAATATGATTGTTATTTTTGTGCTAAAGTAACTCATGAATGATATAGAGAGCCGAAAAAAAAAAAGAAACTTCATATGGTTTATAATTATATTGAGAAGGCATATCATCAAATACCACGAGAATTAATTTGGTGGGCTTTAAGTAAAAAAAATGTAATTCAAAGGTATGTTAATGTTGATTTGATACCAATTCCGGGTTTGATTCGACAATGCACGGTAAAAGTGAAAATCAAGGTCGCAAAGTTGCACGAAAGCCACCCTAAATGCTTCGACGTAAAATCAAAATCATCAAAATAGTGTCTGATGTTGAAATGGACAATGGCCACGGGCTCGGAATAACTAAAAAGCTAAGATTGATACCATATAGGCCAAGATTTTTATCAATGAAGAATGAAAATTTACACACTCAAACCAAGGTCAAGTTGGCATGTGCGAATGATGAGGATTTGGTGAACGAATCAATGTGCAATTAATGTAAATAAATTATAGTTATAATGTAAAATTATATATATAATGATTAAAAAATAAAAAATGCAAGAAAAGTATAGTTGTCCTTTGATAGTTTTTTGGAAAAGTTGAAAAAGACAAAAAAAGAAAAAGTAAAAAAAAAGTAAAGCAAAGAGTGAACAAAACCCTAAATCTACCAAACCCCTTTTCCCTCATTCCACTCAACATCCCACTCACACATCTCCCCAACCCAATCAACACTCACGCACCTCACAAGCCCCAACCCTCACACGACCCCCCTTTCTCCTCTCAATCTCCCTCGCACGTACGCCCTCAAGTGACCCACGGGCCATGCCTGACCATGCTCAGCCAACGCACATTGCCAACCCAATTGATGAACTGCACATGTCGCTTGCCTTAGCCGCCTCACTCTCTATCCTCCCCCTCCTTTTCCTCTTTCTTTTTGCTCTCCTCCTTTCTTCATTTTCTTCTTTCGCTCTCCTTATTTCTTCTTCTTCTCCCTCCAACACCTCACTACCTTCCTCTCAAACTCTATGCTCTTTAAAATTTGAGAGAAAACATAATATTCTCTCTCTAGCTTGCTCTATCACCTAGCCCTATCTTCCTCACTTGAAAGAGAGGTAGACCCCTCCTCTCTTTAGAATGAGAGAACACTCACTTCATCTCCCTTTCTTTCTCTAGAAAGACAGAAAAGTCCCCTTATCCTCTCATTTTCTATCTCAAAAAAGAAAACGAGAAAAAAAAAAGATAAGTAAATAAAATTTCGTATGTTGCCTCGCCTCACCATTTTGCCAATATCAACCTCGTTGTCCAACATCTGAATGTAACAATCTAGTAACCCTAATAATTCTAAAACCTCGAAAACTAGCACATTTAGCACGACGAGTGGAACCAATGTGTGCTTTCTTAGCCAACGGGCAAACTTGTAACCGACACTCACGATGCGATGGGTGGCTCTCAAGCATGCTTTTGTTAGCACGGCGAGGTAAAAATTAAATACCCTTGACCGTCTTTCTTGACAGGTAGCAAACCGGTAAGACTTGTAAGAAGATGCCCGAAAAAACATACATTGCCTTTCCTGGCTGGTGAGATTGAAAGCTACAGACACAGCACACGATACATACCATGCATGTCTTTCTTGGTGTGGAATGACAAACCAACATACCCAATGAAGCCCTGTATATAGGGAAGATAATGAGATGCTACCAAAATTTTAACTAACATGGGACCAAAATATAACTAAAAAAGAATTTTGAAATATAAAGTTGATAAAAATATATATACAAATATAATAAAATTAACAAAAAAAAAAAAGATATTAAATTTGCAAAGATTGAACTGAAATAAAACTTACGCGCAAATGCAACATGAAACAAGCAAATATGCTATGCAAATGCAATGAAAATTAAAAATAATTTTTAAATATATTGAAATATGTGCAAGTACAATGTGTGAATGCATAAAAAAGCATGCTAATATGGACAAGGCATGCAAACACACTATATAAGTGCACTAAAAAGCATGCAAGTGCATCGAGCAAATATAATGAAAAGTAGCACATCTTTTAAAAATAAGTTTAAAATAAACAGCATGTGCTCTAACTGATATAATAAAAAACCTAAGTATGAGATTCGAGAATGCTGCTCTTGTTAAATTTCAAGTTAAATCCTCCTCCTTGAAAGGACTAGAGTTAACACAACATGGATTAATAAGCGACACATGATTGTTTGCTCAAGAAAAATGATGTTTCTTTATGACCCCTGCTTTTCAGACGTAGGATTTCATTCTCCTAAGGCAAATTGAGTTTTAGTTAATAAGATTTCCTATGATGATTGTATGAGCGCAAGCCCTCATAGTTGATTATACCTCCTACTTCGTAAGAGAGAACTCTCGATTAAGGATTAATTAGTTTAAAAATATTTTAGTTTTGTTTATGGGGAATGGAGGTAGACCCGAGCAAGATCACATGGTTTTTTCATCCCGAGAATAGCAAAAATTTTTA